GCCCGGCCCCGCCCCCGCTCCCGCCCGCGGCGCGTGCGCCCCCCGGGCGCGCTTCCCGCCCCCCCCCCCCCCCCCCCCCCCCCCCCGCCCAGGACACAAGACCCTGGTAGGGGACGTCCCAGGCACGTAGAAACCACTCCACTAGGCCACCAGACCCTCCTAGGCTGGCCAGGCCTCTCCTCAGTCCCCAGTGGCCTTGACCTGGATAAACAGCAGGTCCTGAGCCCCGCCCCTGGGGAAACCTTGCAATAGTCCCACTACTGGGGAGCGCTTGGCCAAAGCCCAGGACTGAACGCAGAAGAGCCTGACCCTAGAAGCCGGTGTTTGGATGCACTTTCCTCCTCCGGAGCGAGTGGGAGGGAAACGGAGGGTTGCCGGAGCTGGGAGATTCAAACTCAAGGCCAGGGTTGGAGGTGGTGGTCGCCCTCCCCACTCCAGTCGGGCTGGGGGCTGACGCGGGGAGACTTCCCCGGGGGGAGGGGGCAGGGAGGGACTCATTCTGGAAGGGCGCTTATTTTCAGAGGGCGCTTCGCTGTCGCCTTTGCGAAGACCTAGACCGGAGGTGCTAGGACAGGTGTTGCGGGGGGTGGGGTCGCCACGTGTCAGGGTTAATTATAACCAGGCGTGTCGGGTGTCCCCGGCCTCGCCTCCTTATAAGGGCAGCCGCGGGCCAGGGAGGGCTCCCCCGCCCGCAGCGGAAGGGGGCTGGGCGGCCGCTCGGGTGAGAGCAGAGCACCGGCAGGACTACCTACTCGCGCACCTCCAGATCCGAGCGGAGCAGGAGCTCTCGACGGGGGACCGGGACCTCAGGGGCTGAAGAGGGCATTCTGTGCAGGCGGGGAGGGGGACGGCTAGAGGAAGCCGTTTCCTCTGCCTGGGAGGCGCCGAGATTGCAGGGCAAGCCAGGAGAGTCCAGGGCGCCGGAAGAGTCCAGGGAGCGCCCAGGATTACCACCAAGAAGAGACCAGCCTTTTCCCTCTGGGGTTCCTCTCTCCTCTCGGTCTCTCCCATTTCCGCATTTCTTCCCAGGCATTTGGGGTCTGATCTAGGGAAAGGGGGCCCTCTCTGCCTTTCCCCAGATTTCTGGTGGGGAGGAGGTGCTTAGAAAACTTCTCCTTGGGGCCCAGCCCCTGATATCTCCACCCACTGTCCCTTCCCACCAAGGTCAGAGTGGCAAAGTTCTCCTTTGTGGCTAGGGAAACTGAGGCTCAGAGAACTAAAAGGAACCAGACTAGAATAGAGAGGCATGTATCATTTCAACAATTATTTTATTTTTTAAAATATATTTTGTTTATGTGAGAGAGAGAGCGCGCGCGCGCGCACAAGCAGGGGGAGGGGCAGGGAGAAGAGGGAGAAGCAGGTTCCCTGCTGGGCAGGGAGCCCGACTCAGGGCTGCTGCATTCCAGGACCCTGGGATAGTGACCCGAGCCAAAGGCAGAGGCTTAACCGACTGAACCACCCAGGTGCCCCAACAACTCTTTATTAAGCACTTATGGGGGACACAGCAGAAAACAAGACAGTTGGTCCCATGGAGGTGACACTGGAGTGAGTAAAAACACATAAATATGTGCTGTCATGGTGGGGTCAACAGGGCTTTGGCAGAAAGTCAAAGAGAGTAAGGGGTCCCCCTAACCAGGCCTCTCAGGGGAGTGAAATCTGAGCGGAGACCCAAGGGAGAGGTAAGAGCCAGCCATGTGAGGATCTGGAAGGGAAACAGCAGGTGCAAAGGCCCTGAGGTGGGAGTGGCTTGGCAAACCTGAACAACAGGGAAGAAGCTGGAAGGCTGGAGCAGATGGGGGAGAGCAGAGAGTGGGAGGAAGAAGATGAGGGATAGGAGGTGACCTGTAAGACCATGAAGGAGTTTCCATCCCACTGCAAATGGATGGGAGCCCCTAAGGGCTGTGAGCAGGGGAGACAGGATCCAGCTCAGCCCACCCCTCTGGAACCCGCATAACCACTCATGGGGACATTTGACATTCCTTTTGGCCATAAAGCATAGGAAGCACTTCCTGTGTTTGGGGAGTTTCCCACCCTATGACAGTCTCCTTTAGAGAAGCCAAAAAGGACAGAAACTCAGTTTTCCAGAATCCCTTACAGCAATATTCCAGTCATGTTGACCTGGGCTGAGGGGCCCAAACACTCCAGCAGAACCCTGGGTCATGAGCTCTACTCCTTTATCTTCTTTGAGTCTCATAGAAACAGTTGGTTTTGGGGAGCCAAGACCCTCATAGTGTATGTTCATTCCAACCCCCAACCCTCCAAAGCCATCTGTCTCTAAGGCCTGTTCATCCTTCCTCCTACCCTAGCTCAAGACCTCCTCCATAATCCCCTTCTGCCCTAGCCTCTTCTTCGGTCTGACCCAGTCTGTCTCCTCCCACCTATTTCCTACATTTCTGACCGCTCCTGCTAGAACCTGCTATGGCTCCCCAGTGCCCTCAGGATAAATGAGTATTTGTCGACTAAGGAAATAACAGTAGCCTTATCAGTTGGAAACCCCTCTACCCAGCTTATGCAGAAAGGGCCTTACTACCAGATATTAGGTGCTTACAAAATCACTGAAAGTGTTGAAGGAGCATGCTCTGGGGCTAGGTCACCAGGAACATCTCTTGCCCCTAGAACCACCCTCCCTTTGGACAGTTGGACATGCCAGAAAGAGGTTAGCATGGACGGTGAGAGGCCACTCCAGTCTCCACCTTGACCGTTAAGTATTATGAAGCACTCCCATATGTCAAGTACAATGCTAAGTGCTTTACATATATTAACTCATTGAACACTGTCAACGATAAATCTCAGAAAGATAAAATGACCTGCCCAAGGTCATGCAGCAGGAAAGGGATGAGCTAGGACTCAAAGTGGCACAGGGCTGCCAAGAGTGGGTTCAGGCTTTGGTGAAGACAATTTACAGGCCTCTCAGCAAAGTCATATTGTCATCCCAGAGTCCCTTTCAAGATGGGTCTCCAGGCCCTGATAATTTGTACCTCCTTCCCCATGACCCCTTCATCACCTTGGCTGTCTGGCTTCAGGGCTCAAGACCTTATGTGTATTAAACAGTTTACTTCCCCAGCAGTCCTCTGAGGCGGGTACTGCAAATTTTACAGATCAGAAAAGTGAAACCCAGAGAGGTCAAATCGCTTGCCCAAAGTCACACAGCTGGGAAACAACAGAACCAGACCGGATCACATAGTTAGTCCCTGAGTTTGTATTTCTCATCCCTCCCCAATCCTACTTCTTCCTGCTGAAGTCCCATTTTACAGATGATGGATGCTGAGGCTCAAAGAGGCAAGGGGTTGCCCAAGGTGACAGGCAGTATTCTAGAATTTCAGAGTCTGTACTCTTTTTACCTCCAAGCCCTGGTGTTACAGAGCAACCTTGCTCCCAAACCCTCCCTTTTATCCACCGCCTCCCCCTGTCCCTGCCCCTCCCCTAGGCATGAGGCTTCCCCCTGCAGGAGAGACCCTGGGAGGCAGCACTCCACCCCCAGGGCCCATCACCCCAGAATGCTCTCCTCACCCAACCTCAAAATTCCTCTCCCAATCCTGGCAGACCATGATGCCAACTCATTCAAAGAAGACAAATGATAAATCAAAGCCAGCCCCAGAACTGGAGGACCAGAGAGCTAGAGTGTTAAGGACCTGTCCACTCCTTTTTCCCCAAGAGCAAGCACACTGCAGACCTGTAATCAACTGGATGTCACCGCCCCCTCCCCAATGGTGATGGTGACTGTGGGAAGATAGGCAAATGATATAGTCTTTCATGACTCCCCTCCAACCTCACTCCAGTCCCTCCAAATTGATCTTTATCAGCATAGCTATACATTTTCCTCTAGGTGTTGCTTTAGCTGCACCTTAATCTCTTAATGTTGGTGTTGGGTTGTTTTTCATTCAATTATTTCAAATTCATCCTTTGTTTTGAAAATGTTCTATTTGGAGTGTATGGATGGTCACATTTCTTAATATTTTAGTCTCTTGGGGGCATCTGGCTGGCTCAGTCAGTTAAGCATCCGATTCTTGGTTTCAGCTCAGGTCATGATCTCAGGGTTGTGAAATCGAGCCCCACATCAGGCTCTGCTGTGGAGCCTGCTTGAGATTCTCTCTCTCCCCCTCTGCCCCTCCCTGCCCCACCATATACTCTGTCTCTCTCTTTAAAAAAAAAAAAAAAAAAAAAGTCTTTTAAATTATTTACCTCTTTATTGAGGAATAACTTATATACCATAAAGTGCCCTAATCTTAAGATCAATGACCTTTTATGTATATGTGCAACCGAGTAAGCAGCACCAAGACCGAACACTCCAAAAAGCTCTCTCATTCCCTTCTCTTTTCCAGTGGAACCACTATCCTGGCTTTTAACACCATAGTTGAGCATTGCCTGTTTTTGAACTTCATAGAAATACGATTGTACAGGATATCTTCTCTTTTGTTGGATTTCTTTTGCTCGACGTTCTGTCCAGACTCATTCATGTTGTCAAATGCAACAATAGATTATTTTTTGGCGGATTTTGTTACATAATAGTTTGGTTATTGGTCATTTCTAAATAGTTTCTGATTTCTCGTATGATTTCTTCTTTGTCTTATGATGGCTTTAAAAAAATCTTTTTACTGGGCTGTCTGGGTGGCTCAGTGGGTTAAGTGTCTGCCTTCAGCTCAGGTCATGATCCCAGGGTCCTGGGATCAAGCCCCACATGGGGCTCCCTGCTCAGTGGGGAGTCAGCTTCTCCCTCTGTCTCTGCAGCTCCCCCTGCTTGTTCTCTCTCTCTCTCTGTCAAATAAATAAATAGGGGCACCTGGGCAGCTCAGTGGGTTAAGCTTCTGCCTTCAGCTCGGGTCATGATCTCAAGGTCCTGGGATCAAGTCCCGTGTCAGGCTCTC